CAGATTGCCCCTTCCTCAATGGAAGGGCTGTAAAGATTTTATGGTTTGAATTACCTCTGACTCAGAAAGCAGGTAAAGAAAACCTCTTGTGGGCTGTAATGAAGTAGAAACAAGCACAAGTACAAAATTAGAATTAGAATCCAGTAGTGGGGGGAAAGATTTGCAATCTTAATTAGATGCAAATACTTCAACTCAGATAACTACAGCCAAATTGAGAAATCTGTAAATATACCAACAGTAATAAAGCCCAAATCACTGCCTTGAGGTAAACACTCACTTAACAAACATTGCTCAGTATTTATTATCAATAAATAAATTACCCATGTTTTGCAGCCCCTTATTGAAATGTAGACATATTTGGATCAGTACATCTCAGGGTTGGCCTGAACAGTGATAATTAAGCGATAAAGTGTCCCATTTGTATTTTAACATAGCTATTAAGACTAAAGGCAAAATTATGTTCATTAGAAAAACATTCACTATAAAAAGCAACCCGTTTTTGTAAAAACGGGATGCTTAATAGGTCTACACAAAGTTGCATTATTCTCATATAGTTCTTAGTCAAGCTAAATTAAAACAAACCAAAAAATCTATTCTATTAATTTCAGAATATAGATGTAAAATAAAATAAAATGACACAAATGTCATGTCAAGAAAAAAAACATATCCAACCATATAAGACATTGTAGTCAAAACTTCAATTCAAGTCATTCAAACCTTGCAGTTAATGTGAATCAATATATACGTTTAAACAACTGAACAAATTCAGGTTATTGTCGAATGCCATCTTTATGAAAGATTTATATTAAAGGCAGCCTAGCTAATTGCATTGTACTGCTGGCCCTGTAGCAGTTCCTCATTTTGAGGAATTGTTGGTAAGAGTAGAAAGGGACAATATAAAAAAAACTCCAACAGAACAAAGCTTAATGAAAAGGAACAAAATCAAACAAAGCAGCTTTAAAGCTTCTTTAATTTGTTTAAACCTGATATCAGCCCAGTTTGTCCTGACATGCTTTGTGCTCCACATAACTGTAGGCTCCTGTAGGTGTTGGATTTAGCAGTGTGCATTTGTCTCAAGATGTGAAAACAGATCGGATGTTAAAAAAGGATGCAGTGGCTTATTGTCCAAAGAGAAACTGCAAAGTGAAATAACTCAGAGCTGACTCCAGAATGTCTCAGGCTTTATTACACTATATTTAAAAAAACACCATAAACTTTTGTAATGAAGTTTTCCCTATTGTCAGAATGATGTCATTAGCTAGATCATGCTCTCCTCTGTGTACTGGTTGGCACTTTCAATAACCATCTGTGGGCATCTACAATGTAGCAATGAACCTTTTAAAATATACATTTTTGTAAAAAAAAAAAAAAAAAAAAAAAAACATAATTCTTTTTCTCCACAACTTTTGTAAAATATTTCCAGTTTTACAGCAAAAAATCCAGATTGTAAAAGAGTTGTTCAAGCACAATGATCATTCACTGAGCTTTCTTCCTTGTGGATGTTGAAAAGTGTGCTTTTTTCACACAGAGTAGGAAATGCATACCTTAAGTCTTTCTTAACATATTTATGTTTTCTGAGAAAATAGCAGTTATTTAACCTCCCTCTTCAAGAAGAGGCCAGCATATTCTAATGGGTTTTCTGGAGAAGCCTCATAAATAATTCTGGATTTATGTTGAGAAAATATGCATAGCAATTTTGCATTAGTACTGTAGGAAAGACAACTACATGTATAAAAAGTAATCATCTTATTTGGTTATGTGAAATTTTATTTATTCCTAAAACAAAATGAGTGTGAGATCTGATATAATTGTGATGTATAATGCATTACAGCTAAATGCTTAATTTATTTTTTAAAGAAATTTAATCAATATATCAGAATATTGACAGAATAAGGAAACAGTCAGGAAGTTTGAACTTATCTGTGTTTAAAAATGTTAAAGGACAATCACTGTGGTTACTGAGAGGGCACAGGTTCAAAAGCAGGCATGAAAGAATCTTTCAAAACAGCTAAGAAAAAAAAAAGAAAACATATTGTCAATGTGCATTTAGGTATTTCAAAACAATCTACACCAAATGTTTTGGACATACTGTATATAATGTAAAACATGGAGTTGGCAGCATCATTATGTGGGGATGCTTTTCTTCTGCAGGAACAGGGAAGCCAGACTGGTTTATAATATTGCAATATAGCAAGAGCCAATTCCACCCTTAAAAGATGGTGCCAGTGAAATAATTATAGATTGAAGAATGAAAGAATTAGATGTTTTTATGAAGTTGTTGGTCAGTAATTAGTTGTTATTGCCACACGCTTATGTGCTGAGACTGAACTCAGAGTTTCAGTCTGATAGTCTCCTCTTTTCAGATGACTGGATGCAGCCTTCTTTCCAGAAAACATAGCCAATTTGACTCAGTCATAATTAAGGCTGAAGTGGCAATGCCAGGAATGTTTTCCATTTCTCCTCTTTTATTTCTGATGGATTCTCATTTTATGATTACTCTTGCAAAGTAATAATTGCTGCACATATTTCTGAAATGGGTGGAATGTGAGGCAATTAGTTTTAATGATGTGCAAGACAAATCTGCACGACAGCAATTACTGTGACAATGTGTTCAGCAGCCCAGGGGCAGGACCCAGAGACAAACAGATAGTCAACGGCAATGTACGCCATGGGCGCACATGCTGCATGTGAGGCCACATGTCAGGCCTCGAGTCACTGACCTGTCTGCTTTGTTATCAGACAGGTTTGTCTCCTGTCGTCACCGGGACTCACAGATGAAAATGGGTCATTGAACATGTACCATCGTGACCAGTTCTGGATTGTTTCTCATTTCAGTTCGGACAGTTTTATTGGAGGAATTTGTTCTCACACATTGTCCCCCTTCACCATAATACCCAAAGAATCTGTGACCTTTTTGATCTAATTCTACATCTTGGACTTGAGTTTGAGCAGACATCGGGTCAAGTCGGCAGCGTTTAGACAGCCCATATTTCAACTAACTGGGGTATTTTACTTCTTGCCAAAATAAAATGCAGGCAATACCTACTTTATCCCATAATGGAAAATTCAGAACACTTACCAAGTTGTACAGTTTCCAACCACATCTCTGTATGTGTACAATTAATAAAAAATTGGTTTTGTTTCCAAAAGTGTAGTTAAATGTAATACGTATAAAACTTAGATAATGTGAATCGTGTTTGCTTATTACATTCTCTTGTCATAGGCTGATGAGGCACATAGAAAAAGATTTTAATGTAGCCATAGATGGGAAACTGATCTGGCCATTGTTTGTAGGATCCATATCATAACAAGCGAGCAGAGTCTGAGCAGCAATACAATAACAGGAAATGTTGAGCAGGTATGGAGTGCTGTTCTCAACCAGCGAAGTCCCTTTTGGCTGCCAGTTCGAGCCGTGGCAGCGATCCTGCCTGCGATCTGTCAGCATTCACAGCATCTGTGTCAATAGCATTCCATTGCTGTTGACAGAGCGCCGCTGTTTGCTTTAGCCACCGCAGACCAGTGGCCTAATGTACTGTTTGAGGACAGTGTCGTAAATCCTCAAGTGCTGTAAGCTCCAGTCTTTGGTGACACTAGGTCAGCTTGCTTGTTTTAAAATGGGTGCCAGAGTCTTTCCTGAATTAAAGTAAATGGAGTGTAAAGGCAGGCCCTAAGAAGAGAGATACTGATTATCTTCCTTTGACTGTGAGCTATGTTGATCACACTGTGTTTGCGGACAGGTGAAAATATCACACACTAATCACAAACTGTCTGAGGTGCTTTATAAAGTATTCTTTATAGATCTATAGACATTAGGCGTATGGAAAAATTTATATCCTACCAAAATATGGCCATTCATTTCAACTAACAGGCTTGGTAAAGAATACATAAATCAGAGAAGCAGTCAAGATGCTGATGGCAACTCAGGAGGAAATGGAGAAATCTGCAGTTCATGTAAGATAATATTTTGCCATGATAACTATTTGTTGTGCTCATCACAAATCTGTTTTTTATAGAAGAGATATGTTTTTCTTGTCTGGGCACGACGAAGCTGGTTAGAGCTGAAGGGCAAACATGACTGGAGTTAATATTGGGAGATGCCAGAAGAAAATCTGCAAAACTCTTGAGAATGGAGCAAAGATTTATCTTCTAGCATAAGGCTACTATTAAATGGTTTAGCTCAAAGCTTATTCGTGTTTTAGGATGGTTCAGTGAAAGTCCCGATCCAGGAATCCGTTCAAAAATCTGGAGCATCCATCCAACCTGAATGAGCCTCAATTACTTTGCAAAGAGAAATGTGAAACCACTCGGTCTCAAGATATACAAAATTGATTAAGACGCCTCAGTGTCTTAATCAACGACTCAGTGTCGTTGAATACCAATGCATTCCACACTTTTCAGAATGTTTTTGTGCATACTTGTGAATTACATCCATTATTCCCCGTTTACGTCACAATTTTGTGCTGTTTTGGATTGGTCCTTCCTATAAAGTCCCATTAAAATTCCGTAGGGTAGTTGGCTATTCTGAGTCTGCCTCCAGCAAACAGTATTACTTTTTTAAACCTATTTATGACCTCTGTATTTTTATGGCCTGTTTTTAAATGGCCATTCATTACAGTGAAAGAACGCACTTTATTCTTGATTAGAAGCAAAACTGACAGAGCAGAACTGCCAGCAGCACTAAACTAATCCACAAGCTTGTTTTACAGCTGTACCTCCTGCAGAATTAATGTAAGTGATCATTTACATTTAGACTAAACAAGGCTGGTTAAAAACTCAAAACGAATTTAACCGGACAACCCCGTCATGCTCTTTACAAAATGGAAAGCATCAAAATGCCCCAAAAGTTAAATAAGAGGCCTTTTTATTGAATCAATTCACTATGAGCCACCGTGCTGAGATCAGGAAAAGCCATTTCTCCTCGTGCTCCTTAATACAAGGGGCCATACCCGCCGATCTGTGCTGCTGAGAACATGATCCCCCTCTGTGCTCTCTCTCCCCAGCTGACTGCCAGCCCCCCTGTCAGAACCGCGGCTCCTGCAGCCGACCCATACTTGTGTGTGCCGCTCAGGCTTTCAGGGGCCCCGCTGTGAGGAGGTGGCCCCTGAGCAGGTGTACATTCGTGAGCGGGGCACTCTGAGGCGCATTCAGCCAGGCACCAAACCCTTCCAGAGAGAGCCACCACAGAGAAGACCCTCAGAGAGGAAGGCCGCAGACACCATCAAGCTCCAGACCCCGCGACCTGTGACCACCAAGCAGCCTGCCCAATCTGTGTAAGTAGCTCCACAAATGTTTCTCCTCACATCCAGAAGGGTTTTAACACTCATGTCATATATGTTAGTCTATGTAAGTCGTCACGATCTAAAGTATTTACAGAGTACGTAAAGCTTTCTGATGGTGAATTGCTTTAATTTGCTTCCTAAACATGCTGTATTTGTTAACTCTGCAAGCAAATTCACAGATGGGAACTATTCCACTGAAATCAACAGATTTTTTTTTAGCTGTTGAAATTGGCTGAACATTTGTGCTTTCATTTGCTCTTAATGAGAGTTTGGATTAGTTCTGATCCAAAAATATGATGAAGAATCCATTTCAACGTGCAGTTTCTTTTTATTTTGCATAATATATTCATTTTTATAGCTACCATAACTTTTCATGAAATGCTGTCATGCTGAAAGGAAACATACCATATGAAACAAAGTTTTTATTAAAACGTACTGCAGGACACTTACACTCCTGATCTGCTTATGTTTATTCTTATAAATTATAGATAGACCGATCAAAATTTTGTGGCCCATTTCCATTCTTTGGCTTTGTACAAAATTTGACCATCCATATATATTTCTTAAAAATTTTTAGTTTAATCCTGTTCCGCTGTCGGGACCAGAACTCTGTGGAAGAAGAAATGTTGTATTTCAGTGGGACTTTCCTGAGAAATACTGTAGCTTTACTTATCTTTCTCCACATGGCAGATGATGCACTTTCTTTTCAAAAACCTTCTTATATCATCACTGATACTGAAAACAGACGTTTTGAATCTTTTTTACTGAGTGAAGAAGATTTCATTGTTTGAAAGATCAGATTCCCAAGTTGCTGTCTGACCGGTCAGAGTCTGGCCTGTCTTACATGCTCAGGTTTTCAAGCTGAAAATCATCTGAAGCCAGTCACCAACTTGATTCTCTGTGTATATATGTCTTCTTTCAGAACACAGCCTCCAAAAAGCCTTTTGTAGAACAACTAAGAAACAACAACTAGTCATGTACTCCACAAATCTGATCTGTATGGAAGAATAATAATAAGAAAGTCATTGTTTAAAGGAACACATATTAAGTCCCATTTTCTATTTGCCTCAGAACATTTAGGAAACACAGAAAACTTACAGAATAATTTCCTGCATCATCACCATCATTGTGAAACATTGGAGTGACAGCATCATGCTGGAGGCAGCTCTTTTCCATCTAGGATACTGAGTCCAAGATGATCTCCCATTTATCATGGAGATGATTGGTGGCATATCCTGAAGAAAAACATCTCGATGTTTAACTGTTATGAATCCATACATTTTGCACTCCAACGTAAAATAAAATAGTCCACAAAGCAAGTAATCCTTTGCTGCTTTAGAAAAATCATACTTAAAAATCTCTTAATTTTAAACATCGGAAAACTTACCGGCTTTCCAGACAGACATACTAATCCATGTTGCTTGATGGAAAAAGTTGTTTTGAAATGCATTTGTTTTGGTTTGTGACTGCTTCAGTTTTGCTTTGATTTTTTTTGGAGCAACGGTGACTGTTATGTATCCAACTAATAATTGCCCAGACAAAGGTTTCTTTCAGTGCGTTCAGCTTATTCTCCAAAGACTGCTAATCAGACAAGCTTAATAGTTTCTTGGCCTGGATGTCTGATTGTTTAAGACTCAGTCTCATTGGAAATTGCATTTTTGGTTTGATTAATGACTCTGTCGCGGTCACAACCATATTTCCGATTAAGGAAAAGCAGGGTCATTGATTTTGGGAGTATTTTGATGGAGATTCTTATTGCTTACAAGCTCTAACTTATCTTGTCAAATAGTTCCCTGTTTTGACCTCAGGCCCAGTGGTTTTCTAGTTGTTTATGTGCTACAGTTTATTTGGGCACTAAGGTCATAATTTACTAATTTACCAGTTTGTCATTTTGGTAATTTCTTTCTACCAAACCACAGACACATTTTTAATCATTTCTGACATTTATGATGATTCTCCTGCTAATTAGCGAAAGTCTTATGTCATTTTGAGCTCTTGCTGGTGTTGTGGAATGATGATGGCAAAGGCAACCACGTGCTTGTGGTAGTTCAGTGAAATGCAGCTAAATATCTTGGCACCCTCTTCACAAAAACGCATTTTCTACATCCTCCTTCCCTAAACAATTATCTCGAAGTCATAGTAAATCTTCTAATCAATACAAGACCTCTGGAGAGCGCACAGTTGCTATGCATATGTTTTCTTTGTTCTTGACTCACAGGACATATTTGTGTACTGAGTCACAGATCTGGGGTAAATAGAAGTAGACTGGACTGCAGGCATAACGCTCCGAGGAGCAGACAGTGTTCCTGAATCACAAATACCACCACAATGACTCTGTTTGCTGTTCATGTTTCTGCTGAAGCTGACTAATCCCATACTCTGTCCGATTCAGTCTTTCCAGCTAACTGAAGAGTAAACTGCAGTAATCAGTCTACTTAATCATTTTCAGGTCTGAGTAAAAACTTCAGCTTAAATTGTCTGCACTTTAACACTAATCTGATATTTATTTGAACACTTGCCCTGCTCTTTCCAGTAAGGCACTGGAGCCCTTGTGAACTACCGTGTTTTTTTTTTTTCTTTTTTCTTTTTGCATTCCCTCAGTCCATAACGATCTTTCAGGGGTGGAACCATGCTCCCTTGGGGTGTACAGCGGATGCAACTTGTGGTTTCAAATATCAGGTTGAAGATCCACCGCTTCCAAAGCCTGGAAAGCATGAGCGATGTGAGGTCACGGAGACTAAGAGTCAGAAAGCAAGATCAGTGCCAAGACCTAATACAGGAGTCTGAGTAGGATTAGGGAGGCTAGGTGCTCGAGAAAAGATAGATTATATTGGCTTCGCATCCTACTTTTTAAATCGAGGAGCAAAAGTTGCATTATATATTCAGCACCTACTTTTGTTCTTATGTTCCAGAGAATCTAAGAGGTACAATGCAAATCTTGTATACAAGATATCCATTGGAATTGGCTTATTATGTCAGCAGCATTTTCAAACTTACTCAGCTTGGCAAGTGGTATCAGTTAGCTCGCAATAGCAGAGGGAAGGACAAACCAGAAGGAAGACAATAGAATGATGACATGTTTTTTCATTTTAATTTTTTTGATCTTGTGGGTTTGTTCTGCTGTTACACCTGAATTTTCACAGTGTGAGACAATAAAGGACATTTCTTCTCTGTTCTATTGGAACATTTTGAAAAACTAACCTGAATAGTGTTTATACTTCTGCTGCTGAATCTGTGAACTCTTATAACATTATATTGTAGTTTTAATCTTGACTGTTGAGAGAAAGTCAGGTTTTTTAATCAAGCTTTAAATTTTTCTTTGTTGATGAAAAGGTTGTTTCAACCTTAAGAAAATAATCCAACATCATTTCACTCCATATGCAGCAAAAAGTAAACGTTAGGCATTTCCCATAAACGTTAGGCATTTCCCATTCACCAAAGTTTTAATAAATTGGTTCCAAAACCACTTGAAATTTCCTACATATTCTTATTCCACTCCCTACAATGTAGTCCTTTTAATAAGATGCGAGCAAAATTAGCTGAGTGATTTGAGTTTTCTTTAGTTTAATGAAGCATGGTATGAAACATATTGTTGCCCCTCCTTCATTTGTGGCTGTGCATACAAATTGGTTTCAAGAAATACAATTTCAGCTGTTTGGTAATATTTTCAATAAGAGCTGCACAACCACACAAAATCGCAATCATCAAAATATTATTTTTTTCAGTATGTGAATCAGAGAAGACTGACTGACTCCAATATTTGCCTTGGATTTATATTTTAAGTTTAAGTTTAATACATTTGCTCTTTGCATGCAAACTACATATTTGGATAGTCTCAAACCTCCTTTGTTGTACATCAGTTTGCAAAAAAAGTGGAAAATTTGTAATGGAAAAGAGAAAAGCTAAGGAAAATGTGGGTTAGTCATAATCAAGATCGTCATCGTTATATGCACCATTATTTTCAAGTTAAATGTTTTTCTAGCATCACGTCACCCTGTTTTTGATGCTGAAAATAAGGGTTAGTGTTATAATAATTTAAAGCTAAAGAACTGCCACTGATACCTCTGGTTTAGAACTACAGCTGGGAAGCTATGAGAGGCATTTCAGTTCATCAGCCAACCCAAGCAGAGAGAATGACTGATTAACTAGTTAATATAAGCTCGTAAAACTTGTGTTAATTTGTACAGTGAAAATGGATCATATTCTGTGCACTTGGAAATGACCTCAAAATTCACTTATGTTTGTTTGTTATTTTTATCCTTTGTACCAGCGTCAAAATGCTAAATAAAATTGTCATAATTAGCAATTAGATCATGGTATACATTTTGTTTAAAATGCTGGAAGCTGAACGGTGGTGAATGAGCCAAACTTATTCTGATTCTCTGACACCAAACAAAACCAGGATGCACAAAAAGTAACACAAAACCTCAACTCTTCAATAAAATGAAAACAAAAATCTAATTTCTTTTGAGATTTTAAATCAGTTTCTTGGCCTTTTTTATGTTTTTGTTAGTAGTCCAAACATGATTGTTCGATCATTTCTAAGGAAGCTCCAGGCCGGAGTTTCAAAACCCCAACAAGTGAGGAACAAGTACTATTAAATTCTGAGGCATCAACTGTAACTATTTTTCCAGTGTCATGTGCTGTTTCTGTGATGTTTTTGATGTGATTAAAAGAAAATATATATTTTGATGGTTTATAGCCATCTTTACATCTGGCCACCAAAGAGCATTTTTGACCTTTGACTTAAACATCTTATGATTCCTAAAGCTCAGCAATATAGGGTTTGCGATCCCTGTCAACTCCAGATCCTGTAAAATTCAGTTTGAAGGTCAGGGTTAGTAGCGGATACTCCTGGTCCAGCTGAAACAGTGATAATTCACACAGGATGTACTCACCACCTGAGCCCTTCATATCATCTTCACTCACCCCACTGTTCTCTGACATGAGCTCTCTGCAGGAAACAGAAATGGGCAGAACAGGATGTGTCA